CCCCAGGTCCGCTACCCGGACCGCATCACGCTGATCCGCGGCAACCACGAGAGCCGTCAGATCACGCAGGTCTACGGCTTCTACGACGAGTGCCTGCGCAAATACGGCTCCGTCACCGTGTGGCGCTACTGCACCGAGATCTTCGACTACCTCAGCCTCTCCGCCATCATCGACGGCAAGGTGACACGCTAAGGACACGCTAAGGACACGCTAAGGACACACTAAGGACACGCCAAGGGGGTTGGAGGGTCACGGTGGGGTGTTTGGGGGACCAGGTGGTGATTTGGGGTCTCTTTGGGGTCCTTAATGGGGAGGATTTGGTCCTAGGAGAGCCTTAGGGTGCGTTAGGACACGCTAAGGACACGCTAAGGACATGCTAAGGACACGCCAAGGGGCTGGGAGGGTCGGGGTGGGGGTCCAATGGGTGAGGTGGGGTCCCTTTGGGGTCCTCAATGGGGAGGATTTGGTCCTTAGGGTGTGTTAGCTCATGCTAAGGACACGCTAAGCACACGCTAAGCACACGCGTGTCCCCGCAGATCTTCTGCGTGCACGGCGGCCTCTCGCCCTCCATCCAAACCCTGGACCAGATCCGCACCATCGACCGCAAGCAGGAGGTGCCGCACGACGGCCCCATGTGTGACCTGCTCTGGTCCGACCCCGAAGGTGAGCGGCACACGCGTGTGTACATACGTGTGTACATACGTGTGCACAGACGTGTGCGTGCTGGCCGCTGGCGCGCGGCTCCGTGGGGCTCTGGGAGTCCCTGTGGGGGGCATAATGGGCCTCTGGGGGTCCCTGGGGAGTCTGTGGGGGTCTCTGTCACTCCCTATGGGGGCTCTGTGGGGTTTCTATGGGGCTCTGTGGGGTCCCTATGGGTTTCTATGGGGCACAGTGGGTCTCTATGGGGTTTCTGTGGGGCTCTATGGGGTTCTGTGGGGTCTCTGTGGGTCCCTGTGGGGTCTCTATGGGGCTCTATGGATCCCTATGGGGCCTCTGTGGGGCTCTGTGGGGTCTCAGTGTGTCCTTGTGGGTCCCTATGGGTTCCTATGGGTCAGTATGTATCTCAGTGTGTCCTTATGTGTCCCTATGGGTCCCTATGCGTCCCTATGGGTCCCTATGGGTCCCCGTGTGTCCCTATATGTTCCCATGTGTCCGTATGGGTTCCTATGTGTCCCTATGCATCCCTACGTGTCCCTATGCGTCCCTATGCGTCCCTATGGGTCCCTATGTGTCCCCACGTGTCCCTATGTGTCCCCACGTGTCCCTATGGGTCCCCCCGTGTCCCTGTGCCCGCTGACGGCGCTGCTCCCCGCAGACACCACCGGCTGGGGCGTCTCCCCGCGCGGCGCCGGTTACCTGTTTGGCAGCGATGTGGTGGCGCAGTTTAACGCCTCCAACGACATCGACATGATCTGCAGGGCGCACCAGCTGGTCATGGAGGGCTACAAGTGGCACTTCAGCGAGACCGTGCTCACCGTGTGGTCCGCGCCCAACTACTGCTACCGGTGGGCGATGTGGGGCGATATGGGGCGATATGGGGTCATATGGTGCGATATGGGGAGATATGGGGCGATATGGGGCGATATGGGGTGCTATGGGGCTCTATGGGCTGTGCTCACTTTCTGGTTTGCGCCCAACTACTGCTACCGGTAGGTGATATGGGGCGATATGGGGTGCTATGGGGTGTTGTGGGGTCACTATGGGGTGTTGTGGGGTCACTATGGGAGTCTGTGGGTCGCTGTGGGTCTCTTTGGGGTCCCTCTGGGGTCCCTGTGGTCCTTATGTGTCGCTATGGGGCGGCGCTGTGGGGCAGGTGCGGGAACGTGGCGGCCATCTTGGAGCTGGACGAGCACCTGCAGAAGGAGTTCATCATCTTCGAGGCGGCGCCGCAGGAGACGCGTGGGATCCCCTCCAAGAAGCCGGTGGCCGATTACTTCCTGTGACACGCGTGTGCTTGCCGTGTGCTTGGCGTGTGCTCGCGCCGGGCCCGGCTGGGAGCTGGCGGGGTGGTGGGGTGACGCCGGGGGGGGTCCTGAAAGGGTCCCCGGTGGGTCATTGGCGTGTCATTCACATGTCGTTCACGTGTCGCTAGCGTGTCCTTGGCGTGTTCCTCACGTGTCGCTGATGTGGCCTTGGCGTGTTCCTGACGCGTTACTGTGGGCTCCCTGAAGTGACCCCATGGGTCCCCAAAGGGTCACTGGTGTGTCACTGACATGTCACTAACATGTCGCTAGCGTGTCCTTGACGTGTTCCTGACGTGTCACTGATATGGCCTTGACATGTCACTAACATGTCCTTGGCGTGTCACTAACATGTCCTTAATGTGTCCTTAACGTGTCCTTGTCATGTCAGTAACATGTCCTTGACGTGTTCCTAACGTGTCCTTGACGTGTCACTCACATGTCCCTAACGTGTCCCTGCCGTGTCCTTGTTGTGTCACTCACATGTCCTTCACATGACCCACAAGGACACCCCATGACCTGGAGGGACCCCATGACCTCTTGGGGTCGCCCCGTGACCTTTGACCTTGGGAGACACCGCCACCCCCCTGCCCCCTCCCCCCCCCCCCCCCTTTGCGCGGTTTTGGGTCTTTTTGGGGGGGCAGAAGGGCGAATTTTGGGGTTCCTTCGCTGTATTTCCTCGTTTTTTTGTTACTTTCGGGTTCGGCCGATTTCGCTCCTTTTAGATAAAAAAACCAACATGTGAAAAAGGAACGAAAGCGACTCAAAAAAGCGGATGGGGGGGGGAATGGGGCTCTGTGGGTCACTGTGGGGTCTCTATGGACTCCTATGGGGCTCTGTGGGTCACTGTGGGGTCTCTATGGAGTCCTATGGGGCTCTATGGGGTCCTGTGGGATCTGTGGGGTCCTATGGGGCTCTGTAGGGTCTCTGGGGGGAAATATGGGGTCACTGTGGGGTCACTGTGGGGCCTCTGTGGAGTCCTATGGGGCTCTATGGGGTCCTGTGGGTCACTATGGGGTCACTATTGGGTCCTATGGGGCACTGTGTGGTCTGTGGGTGGATCAATGGGGTCTCTGTGGAGTCCTATGGGGCTCGATGGGGCTCTATGGGGTCTCTATGGGGGGGATCTGTGGGGTCACTATGGGGTCTCTATGGGGCACAGTGGGGTCACTGTGGGTCTCTATGGGGTCTCTGGGGGGATCTGTGGGTTCCTATGGGGCTCTATGGGGTCTCTATGGGGTCTCTGGGGGGATCTGTGGGTTCCTATGGGGCTCTATGGGGTCCTATGGGGCTCGATGGGGCTCTATGGGGTCTCTATGGGGTCTCTGGGGTCACTGTGGGTTCTCCATGGGGCACTGTGGGGTCCTATGGGATCTATGGGGTCTCTGGGGTGATCTATGGGGTCCCAAGGGGCTCTATGGTGTCCCGTGGGTCACTGTGGGGTCTCTGAAGGTCTCTGTGGGCCCTATGGGTTCCTATGGGGCACCTATCGGTCCCTGTGGGGTCCCTGAGGTCCCTGTGGGGTCGCTGAAAGCGTTCAGGCCGCAGCTCCCACCCCCCCCCCCCCCGGCACCTCGGCCGAGCGGAAAGACTCCATCCCCCAGATTCCCAGTGAAGCTCCCGGAGCGGCGCTGCTCTTCTCCGCACCCTTTCACCCCTCAGTGCACTCAAAAGCTGGGAGCAACGCGCGGCGCACAGACACACAGCTGCTTTTCCTTAGGAAACCCTCAAATTGCTGCTCGGAGGACGAGCAGAGCAGGGAACGGGGCACAGGCAGCGATGCTGTCAGGCTGGCAGTGAAGTCTGGGCTCTGCTGTGCGTCTGTGGGAGGCCAGGAGGCAGCAGCTGCCGCTGGAGCCGCTCACCAACTCAGCACTGCTGCGCTCGGCCTCCGTGGAGGCGCCTGTGGGAGCTGAGGTTGGAGCTCCTTCGGAAGCCCTTGCCGCACTCGGGGCACTTGTAGGGCGTCTCTCCCGTGTGGACGTGCTGGTGGTAAATGAGGTCGGGGCTCCTCTTGAAGCTCTTCCCGCACTCGGGACACTTGAAGGGCCGCTCCCCCGTGTGGATGCGCTGGTGGACGGTGAGGTCGGAGCTGCCGGCGAAGCCCTTGCCGCAGGCGGGGCACTTGTAGGGCCGCTCTCCGGTGTGGGTGCGCTGGTGGCAGGCGAGGTGGGAGTTCCTTTTGAAGGCCTTCCCGCACGCAGGGCACGCGTAGGGCCGCTCTCCGCCGTGGAGGCGCCGGTGGCGGCTGAGCTCCAAGCGGCTCTGAAAACGCCGTGGGCACTGAGCGCAGCCGTACGGCGCCGCCCCGCTGTGCGCGGCCTGGTGCGCAATGAGGTTGGAGGCATTCCTGAAGCTCCGCTCGCACTCGGGGCACTTGTAGGGCCGCTCCCCCGTGTGCACCAGCTGGTGGCGGCTGAGGTCCGGGTTGCTCTTGAAGGCCTTGCCGCACTCGGGGCACTTGTGGGGCCGCTCTCCGGTGTGGCAGCGGCGGTGCTGGACGAGCTCCGAGTTGCTCTTGAAGGCCTTCCCGCAGGCGGGGCACTCGTAGGGCCGCTCTCCGGTGTGGATGCGGCGGTGGTGGGTGAGGTCAGAGTTGGCGGCGAAGCTCCTGCCGCACTCGGGGCACTTGTAGGGCCGCTGCCCCGTGTGCACCAGCTGGTGGCGGCTCAGGTGGGAGCTGCTGCCGAAGCGGCGCGGGCACAGAGCGCAGCCGTAGGGCCGCTCCCCCGTGTGGACGCGCCGGTGGCGCAGGAGGCCGAAGTGGCTCTTGAAGGCCTTGCCGCAGTCGGGGCACTTGAAGGGCCGCTCTCCCGTGTGCACGCGGCGGTGGGAGGCGAGCGCGGAGCTCCACCGGAAGCGCTTGGCGCAGTCGGGGCACTCGTGCGGCGCCGCCTCTGCACGCAGGCAGCACTCTGCGGCGATGCTGGGCTCCTCACGCGGCTCCTGCCTGCTCTCCCGGCTCGCTTCCTCGCTGCCCGCCTCTCCTGGCGGCTCCTTGCAGGGCTCTCCTCGCTCCGGGCCGCCCTGCTCGTCCCTGCTGCTTCCTGCCGCCGACGCGCTGCCGCTCCGCCTTTCGCACGCACCGCTCTGCCGCTCGGCCTCCTGCCCCGCTGCGCTCCCACCTCCTGCTGGACGACACAGGGAAGCCAGGACGGCACACGGCGCCACAGCGCTGCCCGGCCTCGGTGGCTCCGGACGCCCCCCTCGGCTCCCGCTCCCCGCCTCACCTGGGCCGAGCTCTCCTGCCGTCTCCTCGGGGCCGCACGCGGCGGGGCTCCAGGGCTCAGCCCCTCCTTCCAGCAGGGCCATCGCCGCGGCTTTGGGGACAGGCAGCGGACCTGCGTGGACACAAAGAGGGGAGCGGAGAGCGTTTCTGCGGCGCCGGCACGGCCGCCTGCCCGCCAGCCGCACCGCGCGCACCTCCCCACCGGGAAAGCGCAGCTCGGGCCCGGCTGAGCCCGGCTGACACACGCTGCCTTCGCGGCACCCGGCGAGCCTCACACGGCTCCGCACACAGCGCGGCACGCGTCCTTCCTGCGCCACTCCTGCCTGCCTGCCTGCAGCCGCGCCGGGGCTTTGGGCGCAGCGCTGAGCACGCAGACCCGCAGCTCTGAAGCCCGCGCTGCCTTTGCCGGCGCTGCCATGTCGACCCGCGGCCGCCCGCCCTGCGTTGGTTGCAGCCCCGCCGGCAGCGCTCCTTCCGACGGCCGCCGGCGCCCCGAGGAGGAGGAAAGGCAGCCGAGCGCTCGCCCGGCGCGGCCACGCATGGCTGCGTCTGCAGCACGGCGGCGCGGCACGGCGATCACTGCGCAGCCTCCGGCAGCGCCCGCTCCTCCCCGCTGAGACACACGGCCCCCTCCGCACGGCTCAGGGCTCCTGCAGGCGCAGAACGGCGCCAATGGGAAACGCCAGAGCCCCATAGAGACCCACAGAAACTTATAGGGCCCCACAGAGCCCCATAGAGACCCACAGAACCCCACAGAGACCCACAGAAACTTATAGGGACCCATAGAGACCCACAGAAACTTAAAGGGCCCCACAGAGCCCCATAGAGACCCCATAGAGACCCACAGAAACTTATAGGGCCCCACAGAGACCCTATAGAGACCCACAGAAACTTATAGGGCCCCACAGAACCCCATAGAGACCCACAGAAACTTATAGGGCCCCACAGAGCCCCGTAGAGACCCATAGGGACCCCATAGAGACCCACAGTGCCCTGTGGGGACCCACACAACCCCATAAAGAGTCACACAGTCCCATAGAGACCCATAGAACCCCATAGAGACCCATAGAACCCCATAGAGACCCACAGAGACCTACAGAGCCCCACAGACCCCACAGGAACAACGTGGGCCGGGCGCTGGGCTGCGTGCTGCCTGACGAGCGCGTCGCCATGTGGGTCTGGGCTCAAATCCCACCTTCTGGGGGCTTCCTGCACCCCACAGAACCCCGCGGCGCCCCACAGAACCCCATAGAGACGTACAGAACCCCGCAGATCCCACAGAGACCCATAGAGGCTCACAGAGTCGCACGGCGCGGCCTTCGGGGCGCTGCGGCCTGCGGGACGCCGCCACCGCGATCGCGAATCAAACCTGCTTTTATCGCAGATGGCGGCCCGACAAAACGCTGCCGATGTTTCCAGCGCCGCCCCGAGGGAACCGCGGCCCCGCCGCCCCGCTCCGCCGCGGCTCTCCCCGCCTCGTTCGGTCTGCCGGCGCTCCGCGACCGCGGGGAAGGGGACGGGAGGCGGGAGGGGAGGGGGAAGGCAGCCGGACGGAGCGAAGAGAACGAGAACGGGCTGCCGACAGCCCAAAGCCGACAGCCGATCACCGACAGCCGGAGCCTGACTCGGGTGCCGAACGCCAGGCGCCCGCGATCGCGCTGCGCCTGGCCGAGCGGAAACGGAAACGACGGCAGCGTCCCGACATCCGGCGGCCGCCGGAGCGGAAATGCGGAGGCTTCTGGGGGATGGAGTCTTTCCGCTCGGCCGAGGCGGCGCCGCGGCTGCCGGCGGTGCGGAGCTGCGGCCTGAACGCTTTCGCTGCCGGCGGTGCGGGGCTGCGGCCTGAACGCTTTTGCTGCCGGCCGTGCGGTGAGGAACGGCGACAGCGGACAGCAGCGAACCGCGACTCGTGCGGCTCGCTAACGGGGACTCGAACCCGGGTCTCCTGAGAGCTGCTCTCAAGCGCCCCCAGGCGGCGTTCCGCGTAACAGCAGGAGAAAAAAAAAAGGGTGAAAAAAAAAAAAAGCTTAAAGGATGTTTGTTTGTTTGTTTGTTTGTTTGTTTGTTCGTCCCAAATGATGACGGCGGTTTTGACAGCAGCTCTGCTGAGCGATTGAACACCGGGCATCAAAGTGAGCGCATGAAGAGGGTGGGAAAAGCGTTGGATCTGCCAACGAATTGCCAAAATGGGCGGCGAGCGCTCAGCCGCTGTGCGCGTCATCGGCAGAGAAACGCAGCTGTAGGGCACTGCTCGTCTGCGGGGCGATATATGCGATATATGATATATAAGCGATATTTTAGGGGAAAAACAGGGATTTCTATGAAAATAAGCGATATTTTAGGG